ATTTCTTTGCTCTAGATTTAAGTTTATCATCTTTAACATGATAATAAGTAGAGCATCCAAATAATTTTAAATTTAAATAATTAGTAGGTTTACTTGATCATACCTCGTTTAGAGTCTTACAATCAATGACAGTAAGGGGAGAACGATTGATAAGATAACAAGCCATGTTAATTGTTTCAGCCCAAAAATCCTTCTCCAAACTCCGAATTAGAGAGCATACATCTAGCTCTCTCCATAAAAGTCTTGTTCATGCGCTCTCGCCATCCTATTTTGATGAGGAGTGTGTTTAATTGTGCGATGTCGGACAATCCTAGAGTTTGTACAAAACTCATTAAAATTTTCACCATAGAATTCTAAGTCATTATCTCGTTTGAAGATGTTTAACCTTTTTTTTGTTTGATTTTCTACTAGAGCTTTTCGTTATTTGAAGGTTTTGAAAACATCGTTCTTATGTGATGTCATTTGATCATCACAAAGCAAACCACGTTTACTTAGAGTAGTCATACCTCTCTCACTTATGTGGCCAAGAAGCATATGCCATAATTGAGTCATTTTCTTTTCAAAGTAAGAAGTAATCACCCATGTAGAGCTTGTTATTATACTACCTTTTAACACATAAAGATAATTAATCCGAGTTGTTTCCATCACAACCAAAGAACCTTTAGAAACCTTAAGAATTCTACTTTTACTAGAGTAGCTATAATCTTTCAATTCTAGATAGTTTAAAGAAATTCGATTCATCTTCAAATCGGTATATATCTCACTTTTGTCAAAGTCCTCATAATCGTATCATGACACCTAATACGAATTGCATCAATACCGATCATCTTATAAGCCGAATTGTTACCTATCGTAACGTAGCCACCACTTATAGGTTCATAAGTGGTAAACCACCCTTTATTTGGACATATATGATAAGAAGCATTAGTATCCAATATCCATTCTTGATCGAACGACCATCTAGAGGATATACAAGCAAGAAAAATTTTAGCAAGCATCAACATCGGTAACCTTCGTCACATTAGCAAACTCAAAACTTTGACCTCGCGGTTTCTCCTTCTTCTTCGAGTAGGACAATCTAATTTGTAATGTCCTTTCTTCGATAGTAGTAGCACTCAAATTATTTTTCTTATTTGGGAGTGATCTAAACTTAGAACAAAATTTAGGTCTTCTTTTATAACCCTTTCTATCATTCTCGTTTCCCTTTACTAGCAAACCATCAACTCGATTATCAATGGCTTTACCATTTAGCTTATGTCTCAACTTAGTAGAATTCAAAGAGGATTTAATATCCTCTAAAGTTATGGACTCTCTACCATACAATATTGAATTAATAAAATTCTCATATAAAACAGTAGCGAATACAATACAATAAGAGCTCAATCTTCTTCATCAAGTCTAATATCAAGATTTTTCATATCCATAACAATCTTATTGAATTCATCAAAGTGTTCATAAATAGATGTACTTTCTCGCATCTTTAGTGTATAAAAGCACTACTTCAAATATAATCTTGTTGTAAGAGATCGATTCATGTAGAGACTTTCCAGACTTCTTCCATAGTCCCATCGTCATCTCTTCATCCGTGACCTCTTGTAGTACCTTTTTTGACAATGATAATTATAGAGCACTATAAGTCTTTTCATCCATCTCTTCAATTTCGAAAGAAGTCATATCATCCGGGTATATACCCTCAATTGCCTTGATAGAACCTTCACCTTGTAACAAAACTTTCATCTTTATTCTCCATGGATTAAAATTATTTTGACCATCAAAAGGTGTAACATCAAATTTCAAAGTCATCAAGTATAAATTAAAAAACCCAAAAATATGTAACTTGTGCTTTGATACCAGTTTGTTATGACAAATGATGGAAACAAGATAAATAATGATAGATAATAATCAAAAGATAAAGCTAAATAAATTATTAACACAAAGAATTTATGTGGTTTGGTAAATTACCTACTCCACGAGCGGAAGAGAAGTTTTATTAGCTTGATAGTAGAAGAATACAAAAACCTTAAAAGCTCAATATAAAGTATTTATCTTTCACTCTCTTTTCTAAACAGAGACATAAAGAGGTTTAAATACCTCATACCTATAAAGAAAAAAACATAATAGGCTAAATATATTATTAGCCTATACAATTTAAGCCACACACAACACTATCATTAAGCATAACACCTATTGCCTTAATTATTTACGTACCCATTCGGGTTTGTTAAATTCAAGAAGGAATTGTTTTTTGAAGGTTTCAAGAGACTAGAATTTTGGGTTTAAGCAGTTTAATTTTGAGTCTTTGGGGATTTCAATTGAGAAGAGAGGAAGGATCTAGTGGTTATATAGAGGTTTAATTATGATGATTTAGGGTTCAATTTCAAGGTTTAATTAGCAATCAAGATTGGTTAGAATCTATAATCGTACCTAAGGTTTATGGGTCTTATGAGGGATAATGAGGAATCAAGTGGATTTTAATAGGGGTTCCAAAGGAGTTGAGATTGTTCGATCTTAAAAGAAATCAAGGTGATCCGGATCCGTAAGAGACGAAAAAAAGGAAGGGGATGAAGAGATGAGAGGAAAGTTGGGTTCAAGTAAAGGAAGAATCGAGTGAAGAGTTGATTACGTTCGAGGGATTTTGGGTTTGTTGGAGGGAAGGAAGGGGACGGGAGAAAGCGAAGAAAGACTAGTTTGATCCAAAAGAATTTGAAAGAAAATAAACAATTTTGTTAACGAGGGTTAAGCCGAGCCAGGCAAGAAAATAAGGTTGGACTTGTTTAAGCCCAACCCATGTGAGGCATGGGCTAGGTTGATCTTAGCTCGACCTAGGCTCGAAAGAGACAGAAAAAAAAAGAAGAAAAAGTGGAAAGGCGAGGCTAGCTCAATAGGTCCGACCCAATGAGCCGAGGGCCGAGGGCCTAATAACCTAATTTTAGCTTTTTTTTTCATATAAATTGACCTTGAATTTCTTTTATGTTTATATTTTTTCTACTCAATTTAGATTTATTTTTTTGAATTTATTGGGTTAATATTTAATTTTTGGATTTATTTCAATAATTAAATTAGGCAATTAATAAGTGGATGAATTATCAAGTGTCCTAATTTTTAGGATTGATGATGATTCTTCACCAACAAAAAAAAAAACTAAAAAGGAAAAAAATGCCGGGAAAAAGATTAAAAAATGTTAGAAAAAGAAATGCTAAAAAAAAGAGAACAAAAAAAAAAAAAGAAATGTTAGGGAAAAGATAGGGGGAAAAAAGAATAGCAAATGCTAAGAAAATAATTAAAAAAAGAAAAAAAAAGCAAAAACATAGAAAACACTAAGAAAAATTAACAAAGTTGGAACCGATATTAACCCAATTCAATTATTTTGTAATTAGGTTGTTCTAAGACATATTGATTATGTCGAGACTTTAATCGAATTGCATGTTGAATTAACAAGATACCGAACCGATGATTGATTCAACATAATGTCACGAGTAAAAATAAAAAAACTTAGTTCGATATAAGAAATAAAACTTAAACTTTTGACTTGTATTAATCTTGGTAAAAATATGTATTTTTTTAGGAGATAAACTTTAAGATTAAACTAAATGTGGTACATTTTTTAGAAAAAAGATATCGATTGATATCTTTTAAAAAATATAACTAACTCTTTAGCCATAAATCTCTCGAGTCAGTCCTCATTTTAAGTTTTTAATTTTTTTATTACTAAATGACAGCTCTATAATTAATAAATAACTTATATTTTCAAATAAATGAAATTTTCAAATTAAAATTTTGAGCAATCTCACTAATGTCGAGGAGCGACCATCCTAATGTCATAACATGTAAGAGTTTGAATGGATTTGCCCATAGAGAGTGTGAACCATCAAAGCTTTAGGTTTCACTAGCTGGAGATTTTTCCTTTGTTTCTTTTAACATGTTTTCGATTAGAGGTTTAAACTATAAGCTTTAGCTTTAGCTTTACTTTCTGTTGAAGGTGATCCTATCACTTTTAAAAGTGGCTTCTATTATTCTTTGTTGAGGCTGTTTCAAGGTGACGCCATCAGAATGACGGTACTATTTTTGAAAAGAAAAGGGCGACCATGGTTATTATTTATTTATAATTTTTTTTCGGCCATACGGGTTCTTCTTATCCGAGCTAGAAAGAGGTCTCGGTTTGTGTAAAAAAATAGAAAAAGAAATCATTCCAAGTTCTAATTGAAATTGGGACCCAATATTCATTTGCTCGATTGATGACGCAAAAGCTTTTTGAGATTCCTTTTCCTGCAGCGATGTTTTTTTTTTTTTTTAAAAAAAGGATAAAATTCTATGTTTGTTTGTAGCATAAAAATCCGATTTCGTGTCCTCTCCTTTTGCACTTTGCAAGCTTGTTCAGCTAGAAAAATGCTAGGTGAGCGATTAAAATAACAAGCAAAATCCGTAAAAGAATATCAAGCGTGATTTCACCGTAAAATATAATTGGAATCATTGTCAAGTGACTTTGGAAACGTAAGTTTATTCTTAAAAATATCAAACAAAGAATCTGTTACTACAAGCTTTTTTTACAATCTGGGATTTGGCTCTATAATTAACATTAAAAGAAATTAAAAGGCATGAGAGTTTTACTGTTTTTAGACCGTTCACTGTCACCTACTGGCACTGTGGATTGAGCTTCTTCTTCTTTTTTTTTTTTTTTTTTTTTTTTTTTTTTTTAAGATTTTGTGTTATAAGCAGCCTTTTATTTTTTTTGGGTTTGTCTATATAGGATGGAAAGTGAAGGAAAGGAAAGAAACTTAAAGAGAAAAGAAAAGTTTCACCCGTTTATTTTGCAGAGGAAACCTATGGAATAAAAAAAGAAAAACAAAGTTACATATGGTGGGACTCATTTTCCTCCTACAATTGGGAGAAAAGTGAGAGAACAAACACGACAAAACATAAAAAATATGAATATTTTCATTTTTACCTTCGTCGGCCTCATCCGTCCCTCTCCATTTCTCTACTCTCTGCAATAACAAATCATGGCAAAACTCACCAAAACAGATCCACACATCGATGGCTTTAAGGCACAACAGCTTTCTGTTTCTTTTGTAGGCACAACGGCTTTAAGGCACGCCAGTTCTGCACATCGACGGCTTTACCTTCTCCTTGTCAACAAAGCAGAGGGTAAAGGATAGCGGGCAGAGGGCAGCTACATACTACTAAACAACAATATTTACTCGTCTTTAACACATCGATTGCTGACTTTATAAAGGTTTACTACAAAATCTCTTGCCAATAATTGCTGTCTTTTTTCTTGTGATTATGCAGCCATAGAATTACTGCGGCTCGACGACTATGGCTTATCCTGTCTCACTTTAATACTTCTTCTACTCTTTTCTAGAAATTTGGCTACCTAAACACGCAAAATAGAAAATTCATTAGATTTGGTGGAGCAAATCTCTGGGTTTTGATTTGAAAATGTGATCTCAGGGTAAAGAGCAGCTAGTGAGGCATTTTGAGAAATCGATTTTTGAATGCCATTTGGATGAGTATTTACCAGTATGCTTCAGCCCAGGCAGGGATGGTTCAAAGGCAATAGTAGAGCAAAGGACAGTTGCTAGACGTATTGGTAACAACATCTAGCTATTCGGCCTATTAGATTTGGTGGTCAGTATGTGGCAAGATTATTTGCTTTGGCCATTCTGTAGCCATTAATCTCAGGCTTCTATATCTAGTTTGGTTACTGCTACAGTTCAGTTTCAGTTTCTTGTTTAGTTGTGTTTGTATTTTGGTTTGTGCTACATTTGATTAGGAATATCAATACAAATTTATTATAAGTATTTAAATATAAAAATATAATCGTAGGGATATTATAGTAAATATATAATTATATATTTTCTTTCCTTCCTCTTTCTACAATTATCCAAACAAGAAAAATATATTTTTTTACCTTTCATTTTTACTTTTATCTAAACAACAAGTGAAAAATAATTTTCTTTCATTTCACTTTTCTTTCCTCTTATTTTCTTTTCTGTCTTTTCTTTCCTCCTAAGAGAAAATATCCAAACACAATGTTAATTACTATCACTGCCACTCGGTGGATTTATGAAAATCCACAACTTTCCTTGACTGATTTTCATTTTAATTTTCTTCTTTAACGCTTTTTTGTCATTTCACTTTTTTTTTCCTTCTGCATTATAAATGATCTTTTCTTTCATTCTTAATTACATTTATTGCCACTCGGTGGATTTGTGAAAATCCACAATTACCCTTAATTGATTCCTTTTTTTTTTTTTTTCCTTCTCTTTTCTTTTCTTTTAGCCTTTTTATGTCAATTTATTATCTTTTTGACAGAGCATTTAATGCTCATGTCATTGTCTTTTTTTCTTTATTATTTCCTAGGAATGAGTAAATTGCCATTCTAGAATAAATTATAAATTAGTCCTTCTTTCTTAGTTAAAAAAATTAATGAGTCCATCCGATTTCAAAAACTAATGTTTTTGTCATTTTTTCTACCTTTTGATTTTGATTTTTTTTTTAATACTTTTGTTTTAAGAAATAGAAGAGAAAAAAATAGATAAAAATATGAAAAAGATTGATGAGAAAAAAATATTTTAAAAAATAAAAAAGGACAAAAATGTTAGTTTTTGAAATTAAATGGACTAATTAATTTGTTTTCCTAAGGAAGAGAGACTAAGTTATAATTTACTCTAAAATAACAATTTACTCATTCCTATGATATAATGAAGGAAAAAAAAAAGGCAATGCTACTGTCTTACGAAATCGGATGGACTAATTTTTTTTTTCTTTTTGTTTTAAGAAATAGAAAAGAAAAAAAGATAAAAATATGAAAACGAATTGACGAGAAAAGAAAACATTTTAATTAAAAAAAGCTAAAACAAAATGGGTTTTTATTATTCATAATACTATTCACATACTCACAAAATACTATTTGCATATTCACAAATCACTATTTCTTTTATTATTCATGGCATTTTTTTTGATACTTTGATCCTTAATTTTTCTAGACATATATATATATATATATAAACTTTAATTATATTGTGATTTAGTCCCATTTTTTTTTAACATTTTTTGTTAATTACCTGTATTATTTAAGAATTACTACTTTAGTTTGTCATTTTTTTTTAAATTCTCATCAAATTAATTTAAAATTATATTTACTCGATAATTTTGATTTATTTTCTATATGTATGGATTTTAGAATAAATTTTTAGAAGATGATTATTTTTTCTTTTGAAAAATAGATTTATATATTTTTTAAATTATAGTGGCATGATTAATATATATAATTTGTGTGAAATACATTTTTAGATTAAAAGTGTATTTCAAATAATTTTTTCTTAGCTTTTTTGTTTTTTTAAAAAACTCAAATTAGTTAATTAATAATTAAAAGTCAAATGTGAAAAACAAAAAAAGAGATGGTTGCTTTGCGCGTGAGGCTCGTATTCAAGAACTAATTATATATTGCATAAAAATTAAAAAAAAATATTTAAGAAGGAGGAATAAAAAGAAAAAGAATTCATGTGTTTTATTTGTTTCTTCTTTATATAGTCAAAATTTATCAAAATCAATTTTGTAATAAGTTTTATTTTAGTCTATTAATTTCAAATCTAGTCAATATATTCCTTGTAAGTTAACTTTTTCCTATAGTATTTTTTATTTTATGCTAAAAACTCTAAATTCACTTAGTATAGTTATGATATATAAAAAATATTGAATTGTTATTTTTTTATAAATTAACTATGCAACTACTACTACACTAAGCATTTACTATTTATTTACTTATTTTTTAATATTTTAAAATTAATTTATTTTAAATTAAATAATTAAAATTATGTTTTGGTTTAACCACTCAATGATTCAAATTAATATAGTTTTTTTATTTTGATATTATTCATTTTTTTGTGAATAAATATATAAAAATTAAGTTCACATTCTTTTAAAAACCGATATTCTCATCAACATTAAATAAAAATAAAAAAAGCAATTGTTTTATTTGGTCAATTCTATGTAAGTTTTTGTTAATTGTTATTTTAGTTTTTCGACACAATCTTATGAAATACTAAAGCTTTTTTAAAATTTTTATTTAATTTTTTAGTTAATAATCCATAGATTAACAAGAATAAATCCTTTTTCTAACAAAAAAAAATCATGAAAACACAAATAAAAAATTGTTAAATACAAAATTTTGATTAAAAAATTATGAATATATATTTTTTTACCTTTGATTTCATATATTTTTTTAGATTCATACTATATCACGAGACTATCAAATTGAAATAATTTTTTTTAAAAATAATTTCATATATTTTATTTACACAATGGGTAAAAAAAAACTAGTTAACCTCTATTTGTTAATTATCCTTCATGTCTCTTATCAATGCAGTTAAAGAATATATGTTAATAGTGAGAGATAGTCTTTCCGACTCCAAGTCATTCTATCGTAATTAGTTTCTCATTGTTGACTGAAAATTAATTTAGCACTTCTACACCATGCATATATATATATAGCTTGTCACTGAACACATTTTTGTTCATGTATTATAACAGTTGCCATCTTGGGTGGGTTTGGTGTTAGGAAATTAAGATGAAATGCACATGGTTATAATCCAGAGTGGGAAATTGCATGAGTAACGTGGTCATATATATATATATATAACTTTATCATAAACAAAAATATATGTTAATGCTACGGCAAAAGAACAAGATATTTTAGTATCTGTTTTGAACAAACATTTAATAGCACAATGCTAATGTCTTATAGAGTCCCTAAACTTCATTGCAATTTGATTTACTCAAAGTCCTAAATTAATGGATCTGATTGACACTCCAAAAATTCCAATTTTTTTTTATTTAATATAATAATATTAAATGGTCAGCTGACACATGATAATTAAAGTTTAAATTAAATTCTTCTGTGTTTATCGAAAAAACAAATTGATTGACATTTCTTTAACTCCAAACTTGTTTCCTAAAAGGTTCTTCTTATGGAGTGTATATCAAATAAAAATTAAGTAATGCTAACGGAAACATAACAATTAAAACGCACAAGAAACTACAACAAAATGAACTTTTACCGGCATTTGTCTAAAAAACTTACTCAAAGAAATGTTATGGTAAATAAACACCGCAATGGCATTTCATAATTGCCATTGCTATATATTTTTAGCATCTTTTTTTCTTAATTTTAGTGAGAATTGTGGTATAACTTTTCCAACATTTGATATAAAAGCATTTGTTGGTGAAGTTCTATGTAATTGCAAGTAAAATTGATATAAATACTTTTAAAGTTAAATAAAAGCTTCTAAACGCGTATAGTAACAATTGTTAAAATTGTAATTATAACATGTACTTATAATGGCATTTTACTCAAATGTTGGTATAGTTATGGAACAATTGCTATTCAAGTTCGATTTTGTAATACTGAGAGTACATAAGAAGTTAATCAAATTTTGAAAAAGAAAATCGATAAATATCAAGCTGGATTTAATTTGGTGTTTTTTTTTTAACCGTTTAGCTAAAAAATAAAATAAAATTGAGTAGCTTATGGAGAGAGAGAGAGAGAGAGTTAACTAGAGTGAGGCAGAACTAAATAAAGATGTAGAGTAATTTTGTCAGCTTCAGAAAAATTGTTGTCTTCTCGTGCTTTGACGATTTTAAACAACATTAGATTCAAGCGTTGTTGATTTAGCACATCCTACTGTGATATAAATAATGTTTCCTTTCTAAGTTGATTGCATTCAAATTCAATCTCTTCAAACTTCTCTCTGATTTCCATTTGCCCTTCTTTAATACGTTTCTATTGTTCACCAATTTGTGTCATCTCTGTTTTTATTCTTTTCATATTTGCTTTAATTTTGTCACTTCCTTTTCTTTTCTGCATTCATTAAAAAAAAAAGAGTAAAAGTTAAATACAAATCAAATATTCTTAAATTCACTCCAAAGGAAGTTAAATTTTTAATAATTTCTGATGAATGCCACAAGTTACTAAAAAGTAATATATTTATGGCTGCCAAACCCAACCATTAATTCTCCCTTTTGAATCAAACTTCTCTAATTTCTACCAATAGGGATAAAAAGGTTATCTCTTTGATACTATATGTTAAAGATCGTAAAGAGTACACATTTATGTGGTCATCATTAGAAATGGCAACAAGCTAGGTATAAAGTGAGTATATGCTTTATCTAATCTAATAAATATTCATTAAAAATATCCAATAGATATTAAAGTAGATAATGGTAAAAAAAAATACATATCTATTAATATGGTTTTAGGATATGGATATTCACTCCTTATTCTATTAATATCCATTAATTTATTTTGATTTTGTTTTTAAACATATAAGGATCTAATTGTATAAACTTTAAAAATTAAAAACCAAAATATTTTTTTCAAAAACTTTGAGGACCAAAAATCTTATAAAGAGATGACCAAAATGTAAAAAAAATTTAAAGATTAAATTTTTTTTTGAAAATTATAGGGAATGAAATAAAATATTTTTGATAAATTATTTTCAACAGATATTAAATGATGGATAAACTAATGTGAATTGTGTAAAAAATAAGATAAAAAAAATTAAATTAATGATCTGGATACCTATTCATTTCCATCCCTAATCATCCACTAAACCTACGATAACATCATTAAAAAAAAAAAAAAAATCTAAGCCCTGACAAGATGCCCATTTTAGACTTCCTCACACTAAAAAGACAAAAGGAATAGAAACTAGAAAGAAGGTAGAATAAAAAGGATATGGGCGGCTGAAGTGGCTTAATTAGGAAATGATTTATAAATGAAAGAATAAAAGCAGGACTACGACAAACTGAAGGAAAAAAAAAAAAAAACTAGTTGGAAAGAACATAGAAATAAGGCAGTTGGCCTAAAATGTGAAATGGTTTAAAAATGCCAGCCTAATAAATAAATGAATAAAATAAATTTAAAAAATATTTCAAGATAAATGGATAATTAATGTTTTTTTTTTCAAAGTAGCTGCAACGCGTTCCTTGGTTTGGCAAAAATCGCCATACTGTAATAAAATTTATTTATTAACCTGTTTAACCTAATACAAACTATCAAGATTGCCAATCAATTTCAAAAAAAAAAAAAAACACCTAAGAATCATAATTATAAGATTAATAAAATATAAGTAATCAAATTGGCATAAACACATTATTATATTAAAAACAGAAATTGAACTGCGAAATTATAAAGCCATTAATATATAGAGCTTTCTTCAGCTACCGTATTCCTTCTGCACTCCATTAATTGTATATAATTCCGATTGTCTTCTTTCTTCTTCTATTGCAAAAGCAAGATTTTCATATGCATGAATTGCAACTTAGGAGAATTATGCTTCGACCCGTCAACCACCGAGTTAAGATAATTGCTAGTTAAGCTAAGCAGCCTCACAAGTCTCAAATAGAAACTCTTTGCACGAAATCTCAAAGAAAAAGTTAGGAGACTTCTGGTTCAACCGTCATGGTAACGCTCGTGACTTGGCGCTTCCGTTTCCTTAATTTTCTCGTTCCTATTCCCATTCCCATTCTTACTCTGTGGAGACTCGCACTCTCGTAAGAGCTCTTGCTCTAATCGTGCAATGGGCCTCTTTTCGATACGCTTCACGTCCTTTGAGAAGGAAAAAATAATAATAATGGTGATTATTTTGATAATCAAAAAAGATATTAATTGGTGGGATGTTTCTTATGAAATAACTTCATAGTCTTTGGTAAAACACAATTGATTACATTGATAAGATGAGATAAATACCACAACCAAGAGCATGAAAGGCTAGAGATTGCTAACATACCTGACACACCATTCATCTGTCTTGCCTGTGTTCCTGAATGTATCATCCCCATGTGGCCATGCCTTGTCAACCTTGTGTGATTAAAATGGGTATATAGTTAAAGCTTCCTTTCTTCATATATTTTTCATTTTGTAAGTTTCATCCTTTTACGTCTATTTTTTTACAATATCAGTCCCTTACTTTCAAAATTATTTTTGTTTAATCCTTACTTAAGGGAAAATTTAGCTTGTCTCTCTATATTGATACATGTCCAAACACATTTTTTATTTAATTTTTTTCTTCTTTTTTTTCTTTTCTTTTCTCTACGACCAAATCACTACGTTATCACCACTCCTTAATTCACAAAATCCACAACCTAACACAAATACTCTCCTTTTCTCTCTATTTGATACATTTTTTTCTCCTTCCTTTCTTCACTTCTTCTCTTGTATCATTTGCACATCTCTTGATTGTTTTTTTATCACTGACTAAATTATATATTAGTCTTTTTAGTTTTACAAAATCAATTAAATAATTTATCAAGTTTTAAAAACTATTTAATTAATCCATTGACTAGTGTTGAATATGTTTAGTTCAATATTTTTTTTTATAAAGTCTATTTATTTTTTACCTTTTCTATTTCTTTAAACAATTGAAAAAAAGAATATGAAATGAATAAAAGAGACTGATTAATTTGTTTTTCAAAACTAAGATGACTAATTTATAATTTAATAATCTCTATCATATTAAATGTTTTCCTTCTGCTTTCTCTCCAATATCAAAAGGTTTTTTTTTTTTTTTTCCTATAACATAATTCTAGATTTTTTATTTTTCATTTTTTGCATTATCAAATTCTAGCCGGATTAGTTCTATTTCTCGAAAAGTAAACTATTTTTTTTTTCAAAAAATTTGATTTTATTATTTACTAATATTTATTTAAATTATGTTAAACCGTTATTCAAAATCCAAATGTATTATTAATTATCAAAAGACCAAAATTTAGCACTTGAATTATAATAGTTTATCACTTTAATGTGCCAAATTTGAAAAAAATATATTGTGTTCATAAAACATCGAAAACATTTCCGAAAAAGAAAACATTCAAAACATAAATGAGTCCTAATTTCTAGGGTAATAAAATAGTGTATCCTGATGAATTAATGTTATGGGATTTTTTTTTTTTGGTTGCCTTCCCTCAAAATACACATCAAAATTTGAGAAAAAAATCTCCATAATAATATACTTTTTTTATGAATCATTTTCATATATAAATCAATAATAATATTTAAAATATCAATTTGATGTGCAATATATTTACTTATTTTGTCGTATAATTGATATTTATCAAATTTAATTTTAATTAACGTTAAATTTGATTGGAATGCTTTATGAAAAAAATAAAATAATTTGATGTGCTAGAGATTTTGAGATTAGATTTGAAAATTAAACTCAACATACATTTGTGTTATTTTCTCTCATACTAAAAAATATTACTTTGGATCATGGAATACACATGATTTTAGCAATATGCATGATTTTAACGGATCATATTAAATTTTAGAGTATCGTTAAATTCACCAATTGAATTGTTATTCTCGCATTTTTTTTAAATACTAATACACCCTCCATTAATATTTTTTATATAATAGTTACTAGTAATTGTCTAGAAACAAATGATGGAAATAACAATTTCATTAGTAAATTTAGTAATACCCTTATATAATGTTGCATTTTTCTTTCTTTTTAGTGATAATTTTCCTTCATGCGCACTATTGCTTTATTGATCCCTTTCCCTAAAAACTCTTTGAGTATTTTTGGTAGGTTTAATGGCAAATTTTGCCTCAATTCCACTCGCAATTTGACAATTTTAGATCCATAGTACCAAATTGCATAAGTTAAATCCTAAATTATTGGAGATTAGGCAACCGTGATCCAAATTGCCTAATTTTCGTTGTGTAACAATCAATTAGGTTGATAGTTACTTGGAATTATACCAAAACGATGTCATTTTGGCATTCCGCTATTAATTATTTTTTTAAAAAAATTTAAAAATATTTTTAACCCCCTAATCTTGAACTTTAAAATTTTTTTTTCTTACAAAATTTTGTAAGCGTCTTATAAAATAATTACAAAAAAATTATAAATATTTTTAACCCCTTAATTTTGAAATTTTAAATTTTTTTTAATAAAATGTTATTTAAAAAAAAAACCATAATTAGCAATACATAATTTCAGTGCCATAAAAAAAATTTTTATAAATTAAAATGGGCATAATGAAGGGTTGACCCCCTAATTATATATATATATATACTATTTTATAAAAAATTTCAAAATTAGAGAGTTAAAAATATTTATAATATTTTATAAGAATTTTTTTAAAGGTTCAATATTGGAGGGTTAAGCATATTTTTATTTTTATTTTTTTAAAAAATCATAATTAATAATATAGTGGAATGCTAAAATGATGTCGTTTTGACATTCCAAATAACGATCAATTGAGTTGACTATTATACATATCGAAGATTGAAAAATTTAAATCATATTTATTCAATTTTTAATATTTTAGAGTTCAAATTATTTGATCTGGTATTATGAATTTGAAGTTATTAAATTACAATAGAATAAGGGTGAAATTTATGAGAAAACTGTTTTTGATAAAAATACAAAGTTATTAATGACTTTTGTGCTCCAACAAAACATTGAATAATTTGCCTCGCGAATTCGAACATAAAAGCAAGATGCACGCCGATTTCGCTCGGTCTCCCGAATGATAATACCGTGAGATTATTTATTTATTTTTCTTGCCTTTGGTGTCACGCACAAATCATGACGTATAATATGTAATGTTCAAGTACGAAACCGCCTCGTTTGGGAAATACAGGGTCTTAGTCTCCACTATATAAACCCAAAATTTGGAAGAAAGCTTCGTCTGGGCCTAGGGATGAATTGAACTTCTCCTAGGCGAGGAGGAGAGACGAACAATATCTTAATCATTGAAGGACCACGGAGTTGAAGGTTTCAGCCTAGAGGCGCCGCAAAATTTCTATGTCAACGCAACGGAGACAGGACTTGGTACGCAAGATATCTCCAATAACTTCATTTATAATGTTTTCCTTTTCCTTCAAATATTGGAGGCTGCTGCTAAATAATACCAGTACTGTTGCTTAACATCCCTTTCACATATTTTACAGAAAATGGAAAAAAGAATTGAAAAGAAAAGAGAGAGGGAAAGAATGGAACGATTGAAAGCAGATATGGAAGAGATCAGCGCGGGACAAAAACGCATCAAAGAAGGGCAAGAAGAAGTAAGACAAAAGTTCAGAGAGATAGAATCTGAATGCTACAAACTCAAAGAGGAGACTAAGAACATAGCCAAGCAAAGTGATAGCAACCAAATCAAGATCAATTTGATGTTTAGCATTTTGGAAGCACGTCAAGACAACAACTTTGCCCAAGCTGATCACCTTACTCAGCTACTACGGTTTGTCAATTAATTAATTTCGTCCACGTTTCTTTTTCTTTTTCTGAAAAAATATAATGCGGGAAATGGAGTTGGAATTGTCTTGGAAATTGGTCTACCAGTTGATACCGAAGATGGGAAAAAAGCATTTATTAAGGCATCATCAACAATTCAAAAGCTGCATTTGATGAACACATGATGCTTTTTTTTTTTTTTTTTACTTCACACAGTCAACATGAAATGTTAATATAGTGTTTCTTTCATGTTCAATTTGTTGTCAGTGAAGAAATAGAAAAGCAGAAGCAAGCAAAGGCAAGCCTTGCTGATTGTTCACCCCAGCGAGCAACTAATTAAGGAACAAAAACAACAGGCGTTTCGTATTTTCAGCGACTTTACTCGTCCTTTTTAAAATCAAGCCAGAAGCATTGAGCCTGTGATCTTACTCCTCTCTTGTACTTCGCTTCTATATGGAGAGTAAAGCTAACTTTACCGAATGAGTTTACAGTTTACAGAATTAGGTGTCCTGCAACTTTTCAAAGACAAGTCGTTTTCTTTTGTTAATAATCCTAATTTTGGAGAATAATATAAATTATATTTTAAAATTTTATCTAACAGCTCAAGTTTTTAAACGATATGTTTTTGCCGGCAGGTTTCCTAAAGCATGCACACGTTTGATCTCTGTAGAAAATTGATAAACAATTTAATTCTTTCATCATGGTCAACGCCAAAACCTCCTTAACCTGTACAAACTTTAAAAAATCTCCAAAGCCCTCACTCTCACCATATCGTCGATGGAAGCAGATCCTTGGAGAAGCTGGAAGCACACAATACGCGAAGAACTCGGTGTTTACACACTACGTCGACTTGGTGATGATTCAGTGAATAAAGATGGGTGAGTGGGTAAGAGTGTTTGTTTGTCGCTTGAGTTGACTCAATGAGGGATTTACGAGTGTGCGTGGGTGCCATTGTTATGTGAGGAGGGATCTGAAGAAGGTGGACTGCTGGGTGCAAGTATTTTGGGGTTTGGATGAAGATGAGTAAGGGTTGAAAATGAACTGAGATGGTTTCTTTTGAAGGATAGATTATCTCGTTTTTTGCTCATGAGTGATGACATGATTTTCTTTTTTTTTTTTTCAGGCCAAGTGATTGCTTAAACTTTTTTTTAGAGTCAATAAAAAATTAATCGTTGAACTTCTCTTTTAGTCTGATTTAGATCAGTAACTTATTTTTTTGGCCCATAATATCATCCATCCTATCCATTAAAGTTGATCACACAAGACACACATCCAATAACACTTGCACAATGAAAAAGCTAACCATGCGTAGTCAATACTAAACTTCAAATAGTTGCTACCAAGTGTGAGAAGGAATGCCAATTCCTGCAGTTTAGTTTCAGAATGAATATAGTTGACAAACTCAAAGCATTTTTCATGCTCTGACTCAGATGCTTGAATATTTTTGGTTTCCAAATTTTGAGTTGGTACAAGCAGTTAATACGATGCCAAAATCATGAAATTAAATTGCCAAATGCGAATTCTCTTCACATTCATGCCTTCATCACCACAATTACTATTAATAACTCATTCCTTCTGCACTCCATTGTATATAATTATTTCAAAAGCAAGATTTTCATATGCATGAATTGCAACTTAGGAGAATTATGCTTCGACTCGTCTACCACCGAGTTAAGATGATTGCTAATTAAGCTAAGCAGCCGCACCTAAATCTCAAATAGAAACTCTTTGCACGAAATTTCAAAGAAGAAGTTAGGAGACTTCTTGTTCAACGGCCATGATAACGCTCGTGGCTTGGCGCTTCCGTTTCCTTATTTTCCCATTCCCATTCCTATTCCGCGGAGATTCGAACTCTTGCTCTAATCGAGCAATGGGCCTCTTTTTGATGCGGTTCATGTCCTTTGAAAGAAAAAAATAAAATAAAATAGTGGTGATTATTTTGGCAACCAAAAAAGATGTTAATTGGTGGGATGTTTCTTATGAAAAAACGTAATAGTCTTTTGGTGAAACACAAGTGATTACATTGATTAGATGAGATAAATACGACAACCAAGAGCACTGAAAGGCTAGAGATTTATAACATACCTGACACATCATTTGTAATATTGGTAACCATTAAAATCGTCATTAAATAAGTTTAAAGATGTTAAAGATATATGAAAAATGTTTTAGAGGCATGAAATAATCACTAAGGGGTTGTTAAAATATTCAAAGCATTTAAGATGGTTTTTTCATACTCGGTGAATATTTTATTGAGTTTTCGACATATAAATAATAACTTTTTATGTGAAATAATTATTTTAAGCATGTTAAATGTGTACAAAAAATATTTTATTTGCATAGAATATTTGCTAGAGGGGTGTTAGATTATTCGATGCCATTGGATGAATTTTTTGATATTCCGTGATTATTTTATTTGAACTTTTCAAGTACATGGATAGTGTTTTCTAAGTAAATTCATTATTTTAAGTGCTTTAAAGGTGTATAAAAATTATTCAATGGACATAGAAAATATCATTTAGGAGGTGTAGGAATATTTCATGCACTTAGATGAATTTTTTCTATGCATAGGGAATATTTTCTATATAAATAAGTGCATTTTCACACAAAATAATTAATTAGGAGGCTTAAACAAGTGTATAAAAATTATGTGAATGGTGAATAAATTCTTATGGGAGGTATTTGAATTTATTATGAAAAGAAATTAATTTTTGAAAAGGCGTGGAATAAATTTTATAGAATTAGGGACCTAATGCAATTAGGTCCCTAATTGCATAAGCTTAGAAGTTTGAACTTTCAACTCAAATTAGGAATGAACTTTAAGAATTAAAAATTTGTTAGAAAACCTTTAAAGGAGGGGCCTAAAGGAATCAATTGAATAATTAAAGGATTTATGGAAAAGTAATTGAAGGAAAGATTAACAAATTAAAGGACTAAAATAAAGCAAAATTTGGGAGAGATTTTCTCTCCTTTTGTCGCTACTTTCACCCCTATTACACATAGGTGAGAAGCCACCAACGACTTTAAGTCATGAATTTAGGAAGCCATTGACACTTCGTCATATAAGTGGAAAGCCACCGATAACCTTATTTTTCTCGAATAAGGAGCAGTTATCGGTTTAGAAAGCCACTAGTGGCTTTATCACATAAGCAAAAAGTCATCGATGACTTCGTTTCGGAAAAATAGAAAACAAGTAAAATGACTTCGAAGCCATTAGCGACTTCATCACATAAGTAAAAAGTCATTGATAGTTATATTTTGGACAAATAGAAATACATATAAATTGATTTGAAAGTCATAGGTAGCCTCGATCACATAAATGAAAAGCCACCAATAGCTTCAATTCGGTAAACAAACAACATGTAAAAGTCTCAAACACAATCGGACAAAGTATTTGATAACTCAATCATCCACAACATAATATTTTCATCATTCATTTATCATTTTAAACAATACAAATAAATTTAAAAGTTAATCAAATTTTGTGAAAAGGTCACGAGTCCCTCTCGCACATCAATTTTACTTTCTTTGATTTCGATGGAGATAGATTATTTCGATCGACTAAGAAAGAGGAAGCAATTATTTATTGGTGTCGAAAAGGTTATTTTACGGTGATTGAAATGCCCGTAGTTAGTTATGAAATGACCAAAATGCTCTATCATATAAAAATTATCAAAATACCCCCATATCGCAAAATAACCAAACTTTCATCGAAAGCCCAACAATCATTATCGACTACCCGATCACCATCCAAGTGGTCTTTCAAGCATGTAAATTAGCTTGTATGGTGAAGAAGGTTGTCATTGACTCATTTGTGGTGGTGGCGGTCGTTGTCGTTGACGGAAGAGGGAAATCGACGACCTAAAAGTTTTGATTATTCTTTCTTTCATCTCAATGAAGATTTTAATGAGATTAGTGGGTTTTAAGGATACCAATCAACTTAGAAGGCTATGAGGAGTGTTTCTATGGTGGTTAGGAGATTCGATTTGGCCATGATTAGCCAAATTTTGGTGTAATTATATTAGGAAATGGGTTTAGTGTCTATTCATCATTTTTCGATGTCGTTGAGTTGTGGCTTCAAGGGAACCACTTCTAGGAGGAAGACCACTTCGTGGTGGTGGCGAGTATGGTTTGATCGAAAAAGAGATATTAGGTTGGGTATGGAATCGAGTTGGGTAGCCATGGTTCTCCTTCGATTTCTCCTTCCTTCGACATCTCTTCTTCTCTAATCGGTGTGATAGGTCAATCCGAAGCTAGTTGCTGGTGGTGGTTGTTAGAGATAATAGCGGCTAAAGAATAATCGATTTGAGAGAGGAACTTCAAATAGGTCCGATAGATAAATAGGTTTGGTGGACATGTCAAGACGTGTTTGGTAGTTTCTTTTGGTTTTTTTAGTGTTTTTGTGGAGGTTTTCATGGGGGGGGGGTTTGATTGCTAATGGATGTGTGATGAGGGTGGTCGGGTGTGTGGAGGTACTTTGGTAGTTGGCAAAGTTGAGGAGGAAGGCTAATGGTGATTTTAATGGGTGGTGGTAGCTTGGATGATCGGGGATGATAATTGGGAGTGGTTTTGGATGATGGGTTAAGCTCGAAAATCCAGCCGGAGAGGAAAATGGTGGTTGAAAATTTTTGGAAGAGATGATGAATAGTGATTGTGAAGAGAAAGATGAGTATTTATAGGTGGAAATTAGGAGTTTTTAGGTAAAAATCAATTTCGATCCTTGATTCCTCTTAATTCTTCATATTAAATGCAATTTGGGTTGTTTGAACTTGAATGACACCCCAAATTACAATTAATCGGGGCCTTTTCTTAAATTTCTTCCAATCACATCCCTTTATTTTTTTAATTTAAGGATTTGGGGTTTTTAGTTTTTTAGTTTTACCCTAAATCGGGTTTCTTTTGGTTCTCAAACTTCTTATTTCTTGTAATTAAACCTCTCAAAACTAATTTGAATTATTTATTTTAATTGATTTCTTTTCTTTTATTATTATTATTATAGAACAATAAATGAAAAATAATGAAAGAGAGATTGAAGATCAATATTACGCCTAAAATTTTAATTATTTAAAATAATAAAAACATTATAAAAGCTTATTTGCGAAATGTGCGGGTATTATGCTGGTATTCTTAAAAGAAAATTTCCTTTTTGCGTTAGGATGACACTGTTAATACTTGGATGGTGGCATCCGAGGCAAAGCTACCCTTGTTAACTCTATAAATTTGCACTGTAGGCTGATAATAACTCCAAACCCGCTCCTTGTATACCCATTGGGCTACAAGGTTGATAGATTAGATGCTTTATTGCTAAAAACTCGAGCCTTATTTCTCGAACCCACTCAG